TTTTTGAGTTAATTACGTTTCTACTTTCTACCACAAAAGTTGGGCCTGCTATCTTGGGCTTTATGAGCTACTTATAGTAGGCCCAAGTTCATTCTTGCCTAGTTGCTCAAGTCCAATTGTGTTCTAGTCCAAGTCAGGCTTCGAAAGAGTTATTATGATCTGCTGCCCCCTACCCTTTTGATTGATAGCCCCGCCTATAGGACAAAACAGTTGTTGACGCTTGATTTTGGATGCCAACGACTCGCACGTGGGAACTGCTAAGCTGACTCAGGAGACACATGTGATGGATCCATGAGATTTGAATATGGAGCTGAGATTATATATTTTGCAGAAAAAATAAATAAAAGATTGGCAAGAGGGGTTTTTATAGTGGTTCGGATGCAACAAGCGACTCCTACATCCACTGTTATTTTATTTGATCTCTCCCTACTTCTATGAATTTGCCCGTAAGGCATACAAAGATGAAGAAATACAGTGTTTTTACAGAGAGAAAGAATTGAAGCTAAATCTCAGCCCAATCTCCCCTCTTCGGGAAGAGGAGTGCCCATTTATTCACATTTGCACTCAATGCCATGAGAGCTTTTGCAAACTGCCTTGACACATGGAAGGCTCTCGTCCATTCATCTCTTTGAAATGAGATAAAGTTTGTGAGAATATCTTTGGAGATATGGGCTTAGCAGTTGGTACAAAGAGACATTAATTGTGCTGACATAGGCTTGACTTTTGAGGCATAACAACAGTCATAAACAAAAATAAGAAAAATTAAGAGAATATTTAGTATGTAATTTAAGAATTTGATGTCACTCTTCTTTTCATTCACAACAAATGCCGTTTTTGTATTTTATTTGAGAATTTTATAAATGGGAAATTTTACCAATTGAAAATGCTGAAATATATAGAGTCAAAGCATAAATTATTTAGGAATGGACGGGACACAAACATGAAAAAAGCAAAGAAATTAAGTAATGAAAGAAAGATTAATTGAAAATTTGAAGGTAAGTAAGGATTTTGCAGAAGCATCATACATTGCCTTCAGTTTACCCTTACGTATTTATAGATTGACTCTGCCGATTAATATGCTATGTTCTAAGGTTATGGACGTGTTCATTAACTACGCAAGTATTATAGTGATACTTAATCTACAAAACTTCTGGTCTAAATTTTGACATACAAGCTTATGTGTTTTAATTAAACGACTTTGAATTAAAAATATTATATGTCAAACAAACAACATTACCAGCTACCACATCAATTTTTACCATAATAGTTTGCACCAATAGATTATCAATAATACTAGTCTCATAAACATGTCTCACTACCACCTTTCATTAACCTATGTGGCAGTTTGCAATTAGCTTAGTCAAGGCGGATCACATTGTTGGGCAGATGGGATCTATGCAAACTAACCAATTGCAAACCGACATGTTGCGTTTGTAAAAAAAAATTAGTGAGAAGTGTTTATCAGTGTAATATTACATTTTCTTGTATGATTATTACATTATAGCAAACATTGTACTTCCTTTTTATTCCATTGCACTTTAGTATAAATAGAAAACTATTCTTCTCAATTCTTTCTCTCAGGCATACTCAAACAATCTCTGTTTAGTCTTCTCTTACCTTCTTCTCACATTTGCCATTAGATTTAAGCTTCACATAAAATAATTAAAAACAGTTAATACTTGCATGTTACATAACTAAATAACTAATTTTTTAAGTGCATGAAAAACATTTAATTAACTGTGTTTTATAGATCTCTTATAATTTTTAAAACGACTTTAATGCAAGATATATCTTCCATATCTTCATCTTAATTTTATAATAAATCAACTAAAGTTTCATAAGCTTGATTCGAATTAATATTTATTCAAATGAGTATTATAGTCGCAAACATAAGATTTTAGTAGTTAGATATAAGATTTATTATTTCCAATAATCAACAAAACCCATCACCTTTCTAGATTCAAAGTCTAGTTTCATCATTTACTCAAGCTACAAAAAGAAAAGTGCTAATCCCAAGGGGTTGATTTAGTGGTCAAGAAGGTTTGTCTCTTCCATTTACTTTTTGAGTTCAAATCACATTGGAACCACCTGCCACATTTGTGGTTTACCTGGAACATTAGGCTCGTAGGATGCTTAATGGATTTTAAAGATTAATTGAGGTGCGTGTCAGTGGCCCGAATACCCCATTAGGCTTATAAGATGTTTAATGGACTTTAAGGATTAATTGAGGTGCGTGTAAGTGGCTCGAATACCCCGATTTAAAAAAAAAATTGTAAGGGTTCAACTAACATAAGATTTTAGGAGTTAAATGCTTATGTTTATGTATAAGTTAAATGCTAAAAATGAATTATGCCTTTAGAATATTTTACTTTTAATATGTCAAAAATATTGAAAATGAAATTGAGATCAAAACAAAACCCGAATTGTTCTTGCAATCTTCCAGAAATTTCAAAAATATTTTACACTGAGATTTAGGTAAGAATAATTAATAAAATGGTAAAAAATAAAATAAAATAATAATAGTAATCAAGACAAATGATATATCAATAGAATATATGTACAGTTGTATGAGTTTATCTAGAAGAGTTATTATTTATCATAATAATATCAATATTCAAGTTGCGACATGTGCTGAACATGTCATAATACAGCAAATTAATCAATCATTTATATAATTATTTTAATCGATTCCATTTTTTGGGTAGTGATTGATGAGTGAACGTGGGAGGCACAATTATTTGTTTTTGTTTTTTTATTAGGGGCAAGAACTATGATTTAGGGGTGTATACGAGCTGAGCCGAGCCGAGCTAAGCATCCAAGCACTTGAGCTTGGTTCGTGATGAACAATGTCGAGTTCGGGTTCGAGCTGAGCTCATTCGAGCTTGAATACTTTGGCTTGAGCTTGAGCTCGCAAGTATGGGTGGGTACTCGAGCTCGAGTAATTGAGCTCAAGTTTCGAATTTATTGTGAGAAGGGGGCTGTTTGTTATTTTAAAAACTTAAAAATTTAAAAAAAGTTATAAAATTTGCAATTTGGCCCTCCGAGCGTGATGAGGCTCGCGAGTCTATCAAGCCGAGCTTCGCCCTGATTGAACTCGGCTCGACCCCTTAAACGAGCCACTCGAGCTCGAGCTCGACTCGATTGATTTCAAGTCGAGTTTGAGCGCGAGTAGCTCGCGAATTACTCGACTCGCTTCTCACCCCTACTATCGTTATAGTAACTGTGGTTCTTTAAAGAAAGTGAGATCAATTCTAAGAGTTGGTTTGATGATCAAGAATGTTTGTTTATTTTATTGATTTTTTGGGTTTAAGCCATCTTGGGGCCACCTATCACATTTGTGATTTACTTGGAATATTGAGTATGTAGGGTGTTCAATAAACCTCGAGATTAGTTAAACATAGATGTTTGACCGTATGTAGAGTTCACTGAACAGTAGTATACTCCTAATGGCATAGTAAGTTCTTTATTTGTTATACCTATTGTTTTTTTACTTAGAACTTAAAAGATTAATTTTTAGGTAACGTAATTAATAAGTACTTCTAATAGCCTTTAGTGATTAATTAAAAAATATATATACATTATATCCTTCTAAGTTAAAATGGATTTGTTTGAATCGAAAAAGATTTTAGTAAAAGTAAAATTAAGTTTTATGTTTTAATTTTGGGGAAACATTTGAGAACCAAATCCCATAAGGCCCTCCGAAGAGATCTCTGGCCTTCGTGCTACAGCCTGCACGGAGTATCATTCCCTTTAATTAATTCCAAGTTTTTATTTTTTTAAGTTATAATACATGTTCCTTAAACAGTTTCACGTGACATTTTATGAGTGAAATATTCGTAGTTGATTTTGTAAGATTTTATTTAATCAATAAGGCCTTATATAATTAGGAGAAACATCTAGAGAAGGTTTTCTTTAATAAATATGGTCAATGACTTAACGTGCTACATCAAAATGCCGCCCTTATATCTTCGATAAATGCTTTAACTATGCAACGTGCTCGAACATGACATGCAGTTTTGATACATGAAAATATAAACAAAAAATCGCTTGAGAAGAATCCAATAGAAAATTCCAACACAGTTTTTCTTTTCCAAAGAAAATATAAACAAGATGATGTACATAATCTTGGGGGAGTGATCCGAGCTGCTGGCTCGACTTGGCTATAGTGTCAAGCCGAGTTTGAGCTCGGTAGATTCCAACTCGCTAAGTTCAAGCTTGAAAAACTCAATTAGAAAGTGAAAAAGTAGAGAATTGAAGAGTTTTTTTTTTGTGAGCTCGAGCTCAAACCTGAATTTTTAACCTCGAGCTTGAATTTTTCAAGCTCGTCAACCTCGAGCTCAAACTCGAACTTAGTACTGTAGCAACTGAACTAAGCTCGATTAGCCCAATACTCGACTCAACTCTGCTAGTTTATACTCCTACATCATCTCTCTTAAGAAAATATTATCAATATTAAGAAACTTACCATAATAAGTTAGTATTAAAAATTATTAATTAACATTTGCAATGAATTCTTTTTAATTAATTTAGATAATGGAAAGTGAAGTTTTGTGATTTCATGACATGCCTGGAGTTATGTATTAAAACTGCAATATTAAATTAGATTAATGGATGTTTAATCTTCACGTATATGTTAAGTGGTAAGTGGGGGGCTGGTGACCCCACTAAAAAAACCCCAATAATTTGTTTAAATTTCTATTTTGATTAAACTATACTTGTTTTAATGTTCTTTAAATTTAACCACACACTCACTTACTTTTTCCATTTGTATATTAAATTATCTAAATTATTTACAATTTTCACTCATTTAATTCTCCTTAATTAATATTAAATTATTTAACTTGCCCCAAATATTAATTAGTGGATTCGACGTGGGTAGCATGAAATAGGGCCCAAAAAAAAAAAAAAAAAGCCATAGCCATTTGCTTAATCAGGTTATATATATACTGCAATACCTGTGAAAGGAAGTAAAACATCTCTAACGAACCAATTCTCAGCTAATGGCTGATCGAAGAATTGCTCCTGTAACATTAACTCCGGACCGTGAAATAGAGCTTCATCAAAGTAGCAGATTCTCGTCTCATGAGAAAGCTGAATCCTCTCATCCGCAACATGTTATCGATGTGAATAATGGTGGTAATGGTGCCACATCAGCATGTCCTTTCGTTCTTTCGTTTAACAACTTATCATACAGTGTCAGAATTCGTCCGAAAATGTTATTTGCTCCAATTCGAAAGAGTGAGGAGGAGTCGAAAGAGATTCGCAGCAAGGTTTTACTCAATAATATTTCTGGTGAAGCACGAGAAGGTGAAGTTGTTGCAGTTCTTGGAGCTAGTGGAGCCGGGAAATCGACTTTGATTGATGCTCTTGCAGGCCGCATAGAGAGGAAAAGTTTGAAAGGATCCGTGACTTTGAATGGAGAAGCACTGGAATCGCGTCTTTTGAAGGTTATTTCTGCATATGTAATGCAAGATGATCTTTTGTATCCTATGTTAACTGTAGAAGAGACGCTGATGTACGCCGCCGAGTTTCGGCTTCCACGGACTGTCTCTAAGGAAAAGAAAAAGGCAAGAGTTCAAGCGTTGATCGATCAACTCGGGCTGCGAAGAGCAATGAATACTGTGATCGGTGATGAAGCTCATAGAGGCGTATCTGGAGGCGAACGTCGACGAGTTTCAATTGGAATGGATATCATTCATGATCCAATCCTCTTATTTCTTGATGAACCCACATCGGGGCTTGATTCCACCAGTGCATTTTTGGTAATTAAGGTCTTGCAGGGAATTGCAAGGAGCGGAAGCATTGTGATGATGTCTCTACACCAACCCAGTTACAGAATTCTCGACTTACTAGACCGTTTACTCCTCCTCTCGCGCGGACAAACGGTATTCGACGGCTCACCGCCTAATCTTTCCCGGTTCTTTAAGGAGTTTGGGAATCCAGTTCCAGAGAACGCGAACCAAACTGAGTTTGCTCTGGATGTGATTCGTGAACTTGAAAATGCTCCTGGAGGAGTCACAAACTTAGTTGAGTTCAACCATTCATGGCAGACAATGAACAGGAAAAAAGAGGTACGAGAGATGCCAAACCTTTCGCTTAAAGATGCAATCAAGGCAAGTATTTCAAGAGGAAAATTAGTCTCTGCTGATACATCTACAAATGATTCAAACTTAACCACTATTCCAGATTATTCTAATCCCTTTTGCATTGAAGTAATAATTATTTCCAGCAGACTGCTCAGAAATTTATCAAGATTGCCTGGAATATTTGGAATGCGGTTAGGTACAATCTTTGTAACCGGACTTATTTTGGCCTCCCTTTATTGGCAACTTGACGATTCACCAAAAGGCTCAGAAGAGCGATTAGCTTTCTTGAGTTTTACACTAATCACCATATTCTTCGCCTGCTCGGAAGAAATCCCCTTCTTCATTGAAGAGCGATTCATTCTAATAAGAGAAACCGCTTATAACGCTTACCGTGTAATATCTTATGTACTCGCTCACACTCTCCTCTCCATTCCTTCTTCCATCACCCTCGCTCTTGCCCTGTCCTTAACCACCTTTTGGGCAGTTGGTCTTTCAGGAGGATGCTCAGGCTTTTTCTTCTACTTCCTCGTATTCTTATCCTCATTTTGGACTGGAAGTTCATTCACAGCACTCATGTCATCAATGGTCTCAGATATTACCCTCAGTTTTACCGTATCAGTTTCAGTTTTGGCTTACTTTCTAGTTTTTAGCGGATTCTACATCCCTCGTGACTCAATACCCGCATACTGGATATGGTTCCATTATCTTTCTATGGTGAAATATCCATATCAAGCTATTGCCCAAAACGAATTTAGTGATTCCAGTTCCAGCAAGTGTTTCATGAAAGGAGTCCAACTTTTTGACAAGACTCCATTCGAGGATGTCCCAGTGGCCACGAAGGTGAATCTATTAGAAGGCATGGGCACAACGTTGGGCACCAATTTTACAACCTCAAGCTGTCTCTCCACTGGGATGCAAATATTAGAACAGAAGGGAGTAACTGATATTAGCAAATGGAAGAACTTATGGATTACTTTTGCTTGGGGGTTTCTGTTTAGGATTTTGTTTTACGTCGTCTTGTCTATTAGGGCCAAGAACAAGAGGAAGTGAGATCGATCGGTATTCATTACTTGATGAGGAATTCTATTTTTACTATGTCTTCTGTTGTTTATTTATTTATTTTTCATTTCTTTTTAATGTTCCAGGAATTAATTGCGTATTATTTATAATTGATGAAGAGTTTAAATTAGCCTATACCTCATTTATTTACTTCTGTTTTAACTCTACTAACAATTAACCTGCATGTCTTTTGTTTTTTTTTTTTTTGTTTTGTTTTGTTTTTTTGTTTTTATTTGTCTTTGGCAATCAATGTGAAACGATTCTGAACATCATAAGTTCATAACTAGTAACTTAAGAAAAATGGTAAATTATAAAATATTATTTATTTGTTTAAACATTCATTTAAAAATTATTCATGTTATTAATTAATTAAATTCTTGAATGTATAAGTAGACGCTTATTCATACTTATTTTCTGTAGTCTTAACCGATTTTATTTCTATATATATTTCTACCATAGAAGTTTGGCCTGTTGATGTTATTTTCTACCCTAAGGGGGTCGATTGGATCGGAGATATATAAGATAACAGAGGTAACCTTCGTTATTTTGTAAGATTTCGATGTTTGGTTTGTAAGTAATAAAATATTAAGGTAATCTTTTATTATAAACAGTATTTACTGTTGGGGGGTAATCTTATTACCTTGCTAGGGAGTGTTATTAAAACATTACTAGGGTAATCTGATTTTTCTACTTATTTTGCCCTTAATTAAAAACCATTTCGAACATAATTGCCCTAAAATGTCTACCAAATAACAATTACCCAGCTCCCCTACATTTTAGAAATTACCTAAAACTCTCTAGCCACAAAAAGTTTAAAAGTTAATGAAATACCTCTAGCCACCCAAGAGCACCGTCGGCCATGACTCACCACCGCCGATCGCTGGCATCAATCACCATAATGGTGCACAACCGGAGGGATTTGGGTGGTCATGTGCCGATAGGCCTTTTCTAGTCATGGATCTAGCGTTTCTATGGCCGTTTCACGTCCACATCTTTGGCCGTGAAATGGCCTAGATATCTGGCTGTTTTCTGACCACGCATTTGTGATCCATGGCCATTTCCGGCTTTGCCGGTGCATGATCGGCCATATACGACCAGTCGTGCTCTATTCTGTTAACTACCTGTGGCAGTTGGCGGTGGTGGTTGACTGCCGACAGCAATGTTTTAAAACCCAACTAGGGGTGAAACTCGACAAAGTTGCTTGGTCCCGGGTTGACTGGTTTAACCGGTTTGACCGACGGTCAAACCGGTTGACAAAAACTTCTAAAATTTAGCAAATACACCCACAAAAATTATGTTAAGTCCGTATAGGTTTTAAAATTTAGCAAAAACACCCCAAATACAAATTAGCCGGTGACTGGTTGGTGGCGGTGACACCCCAAATGCAACCCCAATCATCCCTTGAGCCCATTCCTCTTAAAATATAACCTAGATTTGGCCGAAATAGGTTCAATTTCAACTAGATCTCACCGATGTCAGCGTCGACATTCTAGGCCAGATCTCATTGACGCCAGCGTCGACAACCCTCCCCATCACCCATAAATTACTCCACTCTTCCTCCTGACCAAAACTCACCTCACCCCACCCCTGTTAGCCTTGCGAATCGTCGGCAAATGCCGGTTATTGCCGTTGCCAGTTTTGTTCAATTTTCGGTCGATTTACTGACCGGAAATCAACTATATCACCACCATTGCATTCACTAGCACTTTCTCTTCAAAAGCGCCAACATCTCGGCCGTCAATTGTTCACCGATCATCCTCCCAAACTCCTAGGGTTTTGGGTGAATAGGAAAAATACAAACTCGGCCCGTTGAAGCTTCTGGGTCCTGGTTGAACTGGTTAAACCGGCCAGGCCAGGCCGGGTTTTAAAACATTGGCCGACAGTGGCTTGGGGTGGGTGGAGGTGATTTTGCCACAAATTAAAGTTTTATATGGCTGAGTGTTTTAGCAAAATTTCAAATGTAGGGGGTTAAAAGAAATAATTTTAAAAAATAATAAAAAATACTATTATATTAATATTTAAAAAGGAGGACCATTTAATAATTTATATAACATATCCACCCATTTATCCTCCCAACCAAACATATTATTCACCAATTTATTCGAACCAACTAAACACATTTTCTAAACATTTTCAGTAATCTTTAAGGTGATCTTTCTTTTTGTTAATATAATAATTTTTTATAATAAAACACTATATGATCTAAACGCAATCTAAAGTATAAATATTTTTACTAGATAAATAGTACAAAACATAGATTAATGCATATTATTTTGACAGTGTCAACTAATATATTATTTTAGTTCACGTATAAATCCGATGAAGTTAATTAATTTATCTAACTAGTATTAGATAAGAAATACACGCTCATCTAATTTTTATTTTGTAATAGAAGATACATCCACGACAATCGACATTGCTTATTAATAAATTAATCCACGTCTTATTATGTCTATACTAAACCTTGAGATAGTAATGGAAGATTCCTCTTCTAGAATTTGAAAAAAATTGATAACAATAAAGATTGACTCATAACCTAATTTTATAAACTTTCTTATACAACCTTGATGTGATAAATTACAATTGGTCGGCTCGCAATTGATAGGCTCGCAATTGATCAGACGGGACTCACAGCGAGCAAGTAAGATCCATTTACGAACTGACCAATTACGAGTTGTTATGTCAGGATTATGAAAAAAAGTTTGTTAGATTAGGTTGTAAGTGTAGTATTACCTATTTGATAATACATATATTACAATTGTTTTAATTAGAAATATTATCAATTGTTGGGAGACAATATTTTATGGAACTGTAAGAAAAGAGATATAAGTTTCAAAATAACTTAAAAGAGACAAAAAGATGTTGGAGATTATTAGATTTAACATTTTGTAAGGATAAAAGTGGTGTTTGATAACTATATATAATATTTTGATTTTATATAATCTTAAAATGCTTTTAGTTAAAAAGTAAAAATATATTAACATATTAATAATTAAAAATTGTAAAGATAAAAAAAAAAAAAAAAAAAAGGTCAATCACAAGTCACAGGAAAGAGATTTAATCTTCGGTTCTAACAAATCTTTTTTCTGAGAAGATCTTTCTACCTATGATAAACAATACTCTTGTCTTACATCTCACAAACGAATTTATTACAATATGCCGATATCCTGAACCTAGTAAAGAATCACTCAATCAAATTAGAGTAATACTATACTTACAAAGATCTTTGTACAAAGTAATATGACAAAATATGAATGGAAGAGTAAATATAATGAGTTTGACCTTTTATTTTACTCTTTAATTCATTTTTTGTCATCTCACTTTGTATGTAAATCTTTGTAAGATTTCTTTATAAATATAGTATTGATCAAATTAAAGTTCTTATTTTTATTTGGATAAAGAAAATCTCCAAGGGTAAAACAGAGTTAAGAGAACTACCTCTAGGTGATTGAGTTGCTCAATAGAGATTCTTGAATATATTATTTAAAAGGTATTGAGTTTGAGCTCCTCCTTAATTGCTAATAAGGTAATGACTAGACCTCATGAGAGACTATCATTGCCTTTAAGACTTTTGTTTCACTAGCCAAACTTTTCTCTCTAATTTACACAAGGATAAGGTAAAGGTCCTAAGTCTTTCACTTCTAGTTTACACCCAGTTCGTCACCAACGGCGTTGGTCAGCTATGAGTTAGCAGCCGGCCACGCTGTTGGCTAAGGGTTTTTTTTTTTTTAATTTTTTTTATTTATCTAAGGATTTTTCTAAAATTCATTGGACTTTTCCTTATAATTCTAGGTTTTAAAACATATTTTCTATAAATATTAATATATGAGTATTTATGTATTTTAATTATATTTCATTAGATTTATCGATACAAACAAAGTTTTGTCATTTTAAAGCTATTTTAAAACATATTCTTTATATATATATATAATTTCACAAAACATTTTCCTCTAATTAATAATATCTCTTTTAATCATAATGTTATATTTATAAAATTAAGATGTTTATATAATAATAATAATACTTATCATTGAATATAAATGTGATAAATGATGTTACTTTTTCCAATATTATGATATATCCCGATTTTACATACAAAATATTACTGTTATAAAAGTTTAATTCCTTATATTCCATTAAAATGTAACTTAGAGCATTAAACTAAGCAACTCACTTCATTGTTCAGCTGCCAACATATTTTTTTCCTCATTATTTTCTTTAATTCACTTTTTACATTAACTTCACAAAGGAATTGATGCCTTTAGCCCGGCCCAATAGGGTTACTTGGGCCGGTGATTAAGTGTTCAAATATAGGGATGAGGAATATTTTTCAGGCTAAGCTAAATTTTTTTGGTTTATTATTATTCTATGGATAGTTCTTAGTTGTTTTAGAAAATCAACAAAAAATGATAGATTTTTTTTTTTTTTTTTTTTCCTATCAATTAAAGGACAGGTAACAATTTAAACTTTAAGGGTGTGTTTGGTTAAGCGAATGTTAGATTACTGAGAATATTATATTAATGAAAATTAGATTACCTTGAAGATTATTGAAAATCTTTAGAGAAATGTGTTTGGTTAGTTGGAATAAATTGATGGATATGTTTTATTAATGTGTTTGGTTGGGAGGAATAAATCGATGGGTATGTTATATAAATTATTAAATTGCTCTCATTTTAAAATATTAATTAAATATTATTTTTATTATTAATTATTGAATAATTCTTTTAACCCCAACATTTCAGATTTAGTTAAAACACCACAGCTTATATAAAACTTTAATTTGTAACCAAATTAGCCCCACCCACCTCGAGCCATTGCCTGCCGCCAGCCACCACTGCTGGCCATCGCTTGCCATCGACGAAAGTTTTCGGAAGTCGTTGGAAATCGGCAAGAGTCGACAATATGGCCGTAGATTTGGTCGGAAATAGCCAGATCTATTTTGGTCAGATCAATAGCTATCTTGCCATTTTCGGCCATCAATATGGCCGAAAACCACCATATTGACTACTCTTGGTGACTTCTGGTGGCGGTTGACGGTGGTGGCT